AAACAAAGTAGTTTCGCTTTCACAACAAAACACACAGCGTCACCTACAGCGAGCTTGAGTGAGCGGCGGCCGGTAGGCTTGAGAACGGCATGGCCGGTGAATTTGACGAAGGAGCGGCCGGCGGGCTTGCGGCAACCACATGTGACGACCCTGGGCTGGACTCCGCTTCGTCCACGGTGAAAGCCGATCCGGCGATCCACAGCGCGAAGTTGATGTATTTCCTCAGCGACCAGCACAGATCAACTCTAGGCATGACGAAGCGGATATCGTCCTCTTTTGGAAGGCCAAACAAAGTAGTTTCGCTTTCACAACAAAACACACAGCGTCTTCATGACATGGTGGCAGCAACAATACCACAGCGAGAATCAAAGTTACGCCTTCTTTCTTTGCATGAAAACATTTGGGCGGCGTTATGCAAATCTTCCCACATCGTGACGTAGACATGTGGGGGCGTGTTAGAACGAGCCATTGTAGGGGGGCGTGGCTAAGAACCATTTGGTCTATCAAAAAGCTTTTGATAACATGTTGCTGGCTTGGTCTGAAGATGATCTGAGCCATTTTTATTTTATTTCTTTAAATTTTTTTTTTGAAAATCCAACCAACCGTCTAGGAGAAGTTTGAAAAAGTCGATTTTCAAAGAAATTCAAAATGGTTGACTTTAAGTTTCACCGAATATGCCATAATTAGTATCAATGTTCTCGGCATGATCCAACAAATCTATCAAGACCAATTTAATTAAAATAGGCAAAATCTGATCAAAAGCTATTAGCATTTTGTAAAATTTCATTATAAATTCTGACCAGAAGGTGGCGATAAAAGTTTACGGCAAAGTTCAAAATGGCCAACAACCTAAATGGCCAATATGAGAAATGTGGGAATCAGAAGAGACCATTTTTATGATTTTTTTTTGACAAACCATTCAGAAGTTCAAATTCGTTCATGCAATACTCAAGAACAGTTGGATTTATCAAAATGCTTTTGATAAGTTTTTGCCAGTGTGGTCTGAAGATTATCTGAGCCAATTTGGGTAAAAATCAGCCAAAGTTCAAAATTGTAAAAAATCTTGACCCACAAAAATTTGAATTATTGTATGCATTTGACTTGGCATGAGCCAAGGAATGAGGAAAATAAGATTTTGCTTCTAAACCTTAGTTTAGAAGATATTAGCATAAACATATGTGTAATTTCAGACATTTAGTTGCACTAGATGGTTTGAGAGATTCCAAATAGAGACTCCAAATTGGCTGTGGTTAATGTTGAGACTGTCCTCTATCGGTGTGACAAATTTCACAACTTTTTACCATATGGTTCTATGGGCTGCCATAGACTAAAGAGCAGAACACGAAGAAAAAGAAGAAGACTAACCGATACAGTAGGTGCCTTCACACCTTTGGTGCTTGGCCCCAATAATATCTGACAATATGAGTGTTTTTACTGTATATTTAATTAAATTAATGCAATCTTGGTGAGGATTAGAGACTTATTTCGAAAACATCTTACCGACCCCATACTTTTGAACATTATTGTATATGATTAGTTTTTTCAATTAATGTTAAGTTTTCTTTTGACAAATAATAATTCACACATAAAATATCCAGGAAAAGTTTGTAAAACATTGCCAAATCAAGCCAAACTCGGTTTGTTTTATATAAAAAGTGTAAAAGAGAACATTTTTACTTTTACTAAAACATTTTTTGATTTGTTACCTTAAAGTAAGTGACGAACTTCAATGAGATGGTGGCCAGATACAGAGAATTCATGACAAAGTCCATGAGGTTCCACCAATCATGAATGTAATCCTGAAAGCCACCGTCCCACATTTGTTTGATCTCAGCCCATACAAATCCTGTAAAGCAAAGAAATTCAAGAAAATGAATCTACAACTGATCAAAATCTGATTGTTCAAATCAGATTTTTCAGTCCTAAACACATATTACCTAGAACCCAGGGTAGGATCATCCATTCCACAGTGGTGGGCTCTGGACCCTGCTTGGTGAGCTCTGGACCCTGTTTAGTGAGCTCTGGACTCTGCTCAGTGAGCTCTTGATTGTCCATGCGGTCCACATGTTGGGAGGCCAACAGCAGGAGAAAGAGGAAGGTCAGATAAGAAGCAGTGTGGCATATAAACTTGATGAAGGGTTTCCGGATGAAGAGGCCATAATGGCTCTTGGGAGCGATCAGGTAGAGCAGCGAAAAGAAAGGGAAGAGGAATCCGATGAACATACAGGTGATGAACTTGCTAGCCCAGTGGCGGCGTCTCCAGCCTGAGAACTCATCGTACCAGCGAGATGCGAGCAGCTGCTGACAGTTTGGCTGTGCTACAAACTAACCACAGAATAATGAAAAGAGATTAAACTGACACTGAATGAACTAAGAGTCTCTTACAGGAGTAAATTCACCGTTAACTGTAAATAAATCAAGACATACAGTAAATGTAATGTATATATTGAGTTACTGAGATTTTGCTGAACTTTAATTTAATCATCTGCTTGCATTTTCTCACTGGAATCTGCAGCCAAGCAAAATCATTTTCTGCCTTCTATCATGCATGGAGACTTTCGTCATTTTCTGCAGTTGCATAAGAAACGCTCTCTGCAGGAGAACACAAATAACAGAGCCATGTCCTAATGAGAAACAAGTGCCATTTGAAAAAGAGCAAATAAAAAAGGGACAGAAAGGCTTACAGTAACACACTGTTCTTTTCTCTCAGGCTGCTCTATCTGGTTCTCATCATATCTAAATGATTTAAATCCCTATATGGATGTTGAATGAGAGCTTTTCTGCACCTTTTGTAAAACCATCTGGGCTGCACATGGAATGCTGCAAGCCAAATATTGACTTGTGTGAATTAAACATGGATACATGTGACTATTTTGTGATGTCAGTAGTAGCAAAATCAGCAGAATGTTTTTTTTTTTTTGTTAATGATTCATGAAATAAAACACACACATATTATACTGTATATAATATATAATTTTAATACTACATATAGTTTGTAATTAAATTAAATTTAACAAATATAAAGATGTATTTTATTTATTTAATTATTTACAAAAGTTATATGTTTATTTATGCACTTTCAGGAAAAAAAAAATCCACAAGCTGACACTGGGGGTGGTACATTTTAGATAATATGTACACTTTACGTATACTAATATGTACCTTTAAGGTAATAGAAAGGTACCACTGACAGCTTTTGTACCTTTTTTCTGAGAGTGTATAAAATATTTGTTATTACTATATTTATATTTTTATAGTAAATAATTATTTATATTATAATAATTATTATAAATAATTATCTTGACCATCATTTGAATTTCTTTGTAGGTTTAATTTTCCTTTTTTGGTTCTCTAATTCATGAAAGACAAATAATTAAATTGAATACTTTGGCCATTCAGCCTAATTTGCTGTCATCTGATTGTGATGTGGAAGATCTTCCAGAGGAATTTCAGTGACACAGATATGGAATAATAAGATCCTGGTGTGCTTCTGTTAATTTACATACAGATGCCACAGGTGAATAAAGGCAACATCTTCCTCAGCTTACATTAAGCATCACTTCTTTCTCTAAAAGTAAAAGCCTGCAAGTTGACGTATATCACATAGAAGCCTCTACTGCATAAGAAGAAATTTCCTTCTACCTTTCAAACAGAAAGAGCTTGTAATGTTTAATGTGCACAGAAGGGGGCAACATAGATCCATATAATATTGCAGCCACTCTGCAGCATCCCTCTAGAGCAGTGGTTCCCAGTTACGTTCCTGGACGCACACACTGCTCATTTTGCATGTCTCATTTGTCATACTCACCTGATTCAATTCATCAGCTCATAATAATCATAATAATAATAATAATAATAATAATTCCAGGAACATGTTTGGAAGCCACTGCTCTAGAGGGAATAAAAACACAACCTACCTTCTTGGGGTGAAAATATTCTACTCAGTTTTAAAGACAGAAATTTGCTAAATAGAAAAACAACACCACCTGAAATATATTATCCACAACATGCAAAATACACCAAATTGCCAAATCAACAGGGCAGCCATCCAAGCACACTCCCTGACTACTGAAACAAACAACTATAAACACCTGTGTTTGTAATAATGAACCTTTGTAATATGCTTGAGTGCTGTATGTTGAGAGCTAATGATCTTGAAGTAGTTGTGGATTGCTTTCAAAGTTCTTGTTGTCCAATGCTGACGTTTGAAGAACACAAAACTCACCTCTTTCTGGTGATACTTGATAGCCAGTTTCAGCCTGGCAAGATCATTATTCCCTTCATCCTCTAGGAGATTCATATTGTCCTTGTAGTTCAGAATCAACTCGAGCTCTCTTGAGCTACGTGTTTGGTCGAGCAGATCTTTGGCGAACAGCTTACATTGCTGGGAAAGCTCTTCATACTCTGACTTGAATTCATTCTCCACCTTGCTGAGCTCCTGGAGCTCCCAGCTGAGCTGAAAGGCCGTCAGGAAGGGGTCTTCGCTGGAGAGGGCGATGAGTGAGGGACTGGCCAGGGCCCGGTAGATGTTGAGACGGGATCTGGAATGTCGCAGGCTGTCCACATCTGAGCTGGACACGCATTCCATGCAGTTGCAGCGCACCTGGTGGGGCTGGGGCATGGACACACCCTTCTGAACCAACATCTTGATGATCTCATAGTTGTTGGTGTGAGCGGCCAAGATGATGGGCGTTATGTCAGGAGTAAAATCGGAGAACTGTTTATCCAACAGGATAGGAGGCACCTAGAAAAGAGAGAAATCAGGGTTGATGAAGTTCACTGCAAAAAAAAAATAAAGATACATCTGGTTGAACAAATCCTTTTTGCTTGGTTGGAAGAGCAGCTACGCTAATTATGTCTCTATTTGTTTCTCTGTTTCTGCCGTAACTAGGAATTACATTACATTACATTTAGTCATTTAGCAGACGCTTTTATCCAAAGCGACTTACAAATGAGGACAATAAAAGCAGTCAAAACTAACAAAAGAGCAGCAATATATAAGTGCAAATGACAAGTCTCGGTTAGCCTAACTAAGAATTACACAAGCTTCAGTCTGGATCCAGCCCTTACAAAGACCTGAGATGACCAAACACCTGAGAAGAGATGATGCCAACCCCTCAGAGGACCTCTGATGATGCCAACCATGAAACAACATAAACTACCAAATTTTGCTACAAGTTTGATTGCAACATAATCATTGTTAATAGTGTTCATCGTCTGTTTTATATTACGTCATTAACTGAATTTTATCGTACATTTCTGCCATATGTACATCAATTTGACATAGTCACCACTAACAAGCTACTACTAAATATATTGTAGAAACTTAATTTTCTGTGAAGTTGCTTTGCAACGATTTGTATTGTGAAAAGCGCTATACAAATAAACTTGAATTGATTGAATTGAATCTGCTTGAAAAGCAAAATTATGATTTTTAAATCTCATTCTATGATAAATTTAACTAAATGTAGTTATTAAAGGCAGGGTACACTCTTAAAAATAAAGGTGCTTCACGATGCCATAGAAGAACCTTTTTGTCTAAATGGTTCTATAAAGAACTTTTAACATCTGAAGAACCTTTCTGTTTCACAAATGGTTCTTTGTGGTGAAAGAAGGTTCTTCAGATTATAAAAAGATAAGCAAGAGATGGTTCTTTAAAGAACCTTTGACTGAATGGTTCTTTGTGGAACCAAAAATGGTTCTTCTATGGCATCGCTTGAAGAACCTTTTGAAGCACCTTTATTTTTAAGAGTGTAGGTGATTTGGTTCTAAAACATTTTTGTTATGCTAGTTAAAAGTCTCTTCACATGCCGATAGCAATCACTAAGTTAAATGGTCTTAATGTATTTATATAATCTGTGGAAGATGTAGGACCATAAAATGTTCGTCCAATCATATCCCTCGGTCCGAGGGCTACATTTGGCTGTCCAACCTGTCTATCAATGCATGTATTTGCATACCTCTGCGTACCCTGTTTGCGCAGACATGATACGTCATCAGTGCATTCCATTATGCTATTGCAGACCAAGCGAGAATGAAAGGTGTTATTACTGTAATACTGTACTGTAATGTTTTCTCCCCTATGAAAGAGACATGAGGTAATCTGACAGCATTGCATTCAACCCTCCACCAATGCCGTCTCTCATTGCGTTCATGTGTTTTGGAGGAGGCGTGGCTTTGGAGAGTGATTTGCAGGGAGGGTGTGATCTTACGCTTTGAAAGCTAGCTTGCTATTGCTAGTCTCTCCAAAATCACCTACCCTACCTTTAAAACTAGAAAAAAATACTTGAAAACTTCACATGGGAAATAAGTTTATTTTAGAATCCTTTTGGAAAACATTTTTAACCGTAAACCTCATTAATGGTTGATTTCTCAGAAAACAATACTTTTCCCAGTAGTACCTTATTTTAATGATGTTTTCACTGGAAAACAAGACGAGAATACTGAGTAAGAAACTTATTTGTTGTTAAAGAAGCAATGAGTTATCACTGTTACATCAGCACTTAACCCCAGCTTCATGATGTCTGCCTCTTCAAAAAATTGAAGGCCATGCAAGGCAACTCAACTCAATCAGTGGCCATCTTGGTTACCCCGCCAGGCAGTTATTTTGTGTGCCAGTAATAGACAGTCTGTACTGTAACTTTTTCTCAGTTTGATGTTTCTTTGCTGAAAGTATTCATTTATTTCAAAAAGAAAAAAAAACTGACCCTACATTTTGGAACGGTTGTGTAGTTGTACGTCTATGATAACATAAGAAATTAATACAATTTGTAGTCCTATCATTGTATTACTGTTTACTCACTTATGACTTTGGTACATAGTTAAATATACAAGGTAAAACTGGGGAAAATTAATGATTTTGGATACTATTGTGCATTCTATATGATATTACATACACATTGTGCCATAAATTTAAAAAATACATTGAAACATTAGAACGGTTTAGACCGAATCAAATTTTCAAAAATCCAGTTATAATCTGGTTACAAACCACATACAAATGTGATCTGGATCAGGTTAGTTAAAATATCATGTGTTTTTGTTTTGCTGTTCAGAACACAAGAAAGCATGCATTTAAGTGGTTTTCTGTGGTATACAAAAATAAATTAGATTTTTGCTGCCTGTCTGAACAAAGCCTTTAAGCTGCTCAATGCATGATTCAATTATTCTGTGCTATCCCATAAACAACAACAACAACTAAATATGCATTTCATATGCTCAACCAGATTTTATGACAAATTCACCTTATTTTTCTGTGAGACATGGTGGCATGACGATCAATTTGCTACACTGTGTGGCACTGAAGTCATTAGCACTTTATCTGTGGCAGGGGTCACAGCCCTTCAAACAAAGTGGAAAATTACTTAATCTTCAGCTGCAAGTATAATGGATAATGCAAGCCATCATCATGGAAAAGCAAGAAATCACTATTAAGAGGAGCACTACTTTCAAAACTTTTAATTAAGCAGACAGGTCTACAGGGAAAAAATTTCCCTTTCAGAAAGGATTAGTGCATTCTCAGGTCCCAGGTATTACTGCAACATGGTCAGGAAAATCATTTGAAACAGTCTGAAACAGTTTGGACGTAACCTGCACATTTACAGTCGCTTCACAAAAGAAGGGATTACCAAGGCAACTGGGAATTCCTGCATGTGTAAGTAGAATTGAAAAGAAGACCCAAGAGATGCTACAGTAGGTGAGACATCAAATTGTTTCGGTTATACAGGAAACTCTGAAGTAAATTTGTCAGTGATTGCCATCTTACCTGCATGCCCCCGCTGGGCTTTTTATGGTTCAAAAGCAGCTCCACAGCTCCCACCACTTCCTTTCGTATGGCGTGTAAAAGCGCATCCCCCACATACACGTTAAAGCTGAGCAGCAGCTCAATGATTTCCAGGTTCTCATTCTCAATGGCAATCAACAGAGCCGTCCGTCCCAGAGGGTCGATGCAGTTGATGTTGATTTTGAAGTAGATTTCTGCTTCTATCAGTGCTTGTTTGACGCTGGCGTAGTCGCCTTTCTCCACAGCACACAGGTAGGCCTTTTCCAGCGGTGACAGCTCAGACTCGGCTCGAACTATCCGCAGAGGGATCCGGTCCCTGTATGAGAAGTTGTCCGTTCTGCGAAAGTAGAGCTGTGACATTGCTGCTATGCCTTCATGAGAGACAACTGGGCATGAAGAGATGGAAATAGAGAGACCCAGTACAGACAATGAAAGGATGCTGGTAAATGAGAGTAGGAATCATGCATTACAGAGGAAATGGCCCTAAGCATTGTAAACCATCATCTCCACACCAAACATCCCATTAGCATGACACTCAGCCCTCATTTGCTTGGTTTTCTGTTGACTTCGAGGTTATGGGGAGGTTATTAGATTTGGTTGTTTTGTTGAAGGCCACAATGAAAACCTCAGATACTGGGACAAGATCTTAATGGAGTTAAGAGAGCACTTAATATAGATTGAGTCACGTATGTATGCATGGACTAAGTTTTTGTTATTTGTCTAAGGGCAAAACAACTTGGCACCTTCAAAAGTCAATCAATAAAATGTCTGCAGTGAAATCAACCTGTTGACATCATCTGAACTGTTTATAAGGCATCTCATATACAAAGGTTGGGATCAGTTTTGCTTTCCCTCACCACACAAATGAGCTCTGAAAATGCCCTCTTGTATGCTGTAATTTGGATCAATGTAAATCACTATAGAGTGCTGCAGGGATGTCATATTTTTATAGAACTTGAAGCAAGTTCATTTAGCATTTTCAGTTCCATCGTCCTGATATGAATGTTTTTTTTTTATGGGTTTTTGGTTAAACACCTGAAATAAGTCTGTGGTTAACACAAGCTCAAAATATTTTTAATAGGGATGTCCTGATCAGGTTTTTTGTGCCCCTGATCCGATCCGAGTCATTGAATATTGAGTATCTGCCAATACCGAGTCCCGATCCAATACTTGTATTGTCCTAGTGCTTGGTGCAGACTTCAAGTACATTAAAGTTATAAAGTTATTAAAATCAATCCAATTTATACAGAGATGTGCAGAGAATTTGTGATGCAACCATGGTTTAGTTTGTTTATATACTATGTTTAGCTTTTTACTTCTGGCGATTGTATTTAGGCTTAAAACTCATAGATGTTGTGTTCATTTGTAAGAATCATGAACTTTTGTTGGTCACAGAGCTTATTTTTTGCAATAATCCAAAAGCCAATGAAAAAAAATCCTATTGGGATTTAGTTGAGGAAGCCAGGGTGTTGCTAACTTACAGGTTGGCCTACAAAAAATACATCATCACTGCAGCACTCTATAGACAGCATGTGCCAATTATCTGTAGTTGATGAAATATGCATATGTGTCCTCTAGATATGAGCTGGATATTTGTCATAATAGGTTCATGGTATCAGGGGTCAGAAAAATGTATATATAACCAACCACAATTGAGTCAGCCTGTAGATGATGCTGATGTTTTATGGACAGTGCTTTCTGGTGCGTGCATTACAGGAACTTGCTGTTAAAACATTTAGTTCTTCAACAGACTCAACAGTTACTATTCTAAAACCTCATGGTGTTTTACAGGTCCAAATATATATCAAGTTAAAGAAACACATTTGTGTATGACACTGACAAATATAGTCTAGTGATAAAACATGATGGTCCTCCACAGCCTTCTCAGTGTTCTCATACAAACTTGTACACTTATGAGGACCTTCCATATAGACTTCTATTGTTACACTCACTGTAGGTCAAATTAAACAAATTTGTAAAGCTTAAGCTTAATGTTTTGCTATTTATATATATATATATATATATATATATATATATCATGTGTATATATGTTCAAATATTTAAGTATTGCACTAAACACTTGTTTTTCACGGTCAAAAATAACAGTAAATAAATGGGAAATACTAAAATACATAGC